TGAGAAAGGTCAGTATCCCTGTCATCCACTGCTATCGCTATGGTTGTTAGGTACAGCTGGAAAGAGGGCATTCAGAGTAGGGATCAAGACAAAAAAATTACAAAACGATGGAGGCCTAGGAGGCAGGTGACAATAGAGGGAGATGACTAGAAGACCCTAGCCTATGGCAACATTTAGGGCTCAGCATTACTTTCTGCCTGCTCTGGCAAGGCTGACCAAATTCTGATTAAAGAAATGAATGCGATTTTAAGACAAATAAATAGAAGAGGGTATAATACTTATTTTTTAAAAGTGATTTAAATCTCAAAATATATGGCAAAAGCAGGAATATATGAGAAAAAATATTTAAGATATATTTCATTCAACCAATTAAAATTCAGCTATAAGCAGAAAAAAAATTGTAGATCAGGGTATTACCCCCAGCAATTTTACTAAAATCATATTCATGGTTATTTAATAAGAGCATTCTAAGAACCCAATTCTCAACAGCACTGTATATTCTAATGGATATATTAAAGCAAAGGAACACCGGATCCATGTCTTATGACCTATCCACTTGAACTTGAACCTTTGGGGAACTTTTTTCACAGAAGACGTAATTTTACAGCTTTAGTATAGTCAAGTCTCAAGTGGATTATCTGCTTTGTGAATTATTCAGGGCATAATACAAATCCTGGCCAGCTTCCTTTCTCTACCCAGCGAGCTCTTCAGCTGAGTTTTCCATGTAGCTCAGTCAGGGCATATTTTAAAAACTAAAAATAATTTTATATTTATCAAAGCAAAATACAAGATAAATATATTGTAAAGACAATCATATGAAGCACCCTAAAATAAAATAAAAATTCAGAATTTTTACATTTATTTTCAAATAATAATAATGAGTTGATTAATCATCGTCAACATTTTCCACTTAGGACCATTCACTAAAGAAATCTAATTTTAAAAATATGTCTTCCAGAATAATTCAGGTTTTTCTAATTATTGTATCTGTTCTAGGGTCTGATTTATAGTAGAGTTAATATTTACATCTTCAAGCAGCTTTGTTTTAAAGTTTCACCATGTATGAGGGTTTATCCTAGATGAGACAACTGTAATTTCTTGACTAGTAATTATAGTAAGGTCTCACTTAAAGTTGTTGATAGGTTCTATGACTTTAAGTGAAATGATGTATAACCAATTTCACCATAACCTAACTGATATAAACAAGAATTAAGTTCTAAAACATCTCAATGTTATAATGAAATGACATACTGTACAATATACAAATGGCAAACAGACCAAGTGGTAAGAATTTCCATTCTCCATAATAAGTACCAATATTTTGCAAATTCCAATTAAGTCCAGAAGTGGCTCTTGGGGTTTATTTCTCAAGAGGGGCATGAAGCAAGTCCTCACCAAAATTCATACTTTCTTTTTTATTACAAAGAATAACTAGGAAAGTTTATGAAAAGTAAGAACTGAGAGTTTGGTGAATATCAGTCAACAAAAAATTATTCAGTATCAAGCCTAAGAACTCATTTTTTTGATCATTCAACTCAAGAGGTAGACCTAGATAACTAATTCAGTGTCTAACTACATTAAGATATCTAAAATGATACATAACTACAACTTGAAGTGGGAAAACTGATTTCGGAAATAACAGAAATAGCATGACATTTATAAAAGGAGAAGTGACAAGGAATAGTTTCTTGAATATAAGACAACAGGTTGTGAGACTACCTTACTAGGTTAGAATTTGAGATGAAATATGATTTAACACTATAACTCCAAAGGAAGATTTACAGAATATTCAGGATGGACATGTAAAAAAAGTAAAAATCACAAAAAAGGAAACAAGTAAATGAAAACAACATATGAGAAACAGTGAAGGAATTAGTAAAGTAAAAACTTAAATGTCAGGCCAGTTCTCCCATAACATGCCCCAAACATGAGAACTTAGCGAATACGTCCCCAGGAAGGTCCAGCGCAGTACTACCTAGTATGCGTAAGAACTGTCCTGCTGACTGCAAGCCTCAGCTAGCAGGTGCCTACTGTCCTCCCCTCTGTGCTTGCTTTCAGCAAATTCATATGCTGAGCTGACTGAACCCTTATCTTCTTCCATCTGGAAGGACAAAAAAGCAACAAGTCTCATATTACAGAACAATACTCTCTACTGTATATAGGTTTAGAATCAAAACAGCAAGTTGGGGTCCACAATCTTTGAGGCACAAATGAATGTTCACACACCACTACATTCATTTACTGTCACAAAAGGGCTAGGAGCAGCTTCTTAAGGGGCATACAACAAAGCACACAAAATAAAGCCATGATTTTCCAGTGCACAAAGTTAAATTAAAACCAGGTTTCCTTCAATAAAATTAAACTTTTTATATCAAACAAATTCCTTGCCACAAAGTTTTAGGGTTCTTACTGCAATGGTATGTCCCATTCTGCACAGCTCATGCTCCCTTCTCAGAAGACTTCTCTAGTCTAACTGGACTTTAGCAGAGTAGAAGGGTCAATCACATGGTCTTTCAAATGTTACACATGTGAGTGAAGGGGGCTTGACTTGATCTAACAAAATCAATTTAATTATTAATTTGAAAAACATTTTTAGTGAGTGTCAAGTAATTTATACACATTTCTATTCTTTAGTTTTTCTATATTTGTATGAAGAGACCTTCTAAGGAGTATGAGCCTAAGCTACATTTAACTTTTCTTAAATTATAAAAATAATGTCCTCGATGAATAAAAAACAAAATTTTCCTAATTTCTATGTATTTTCTCAGTCTTCAGACTGACCAATAATTATTTCTATAAAAAAATGCTATAGTGAATTTCTAACATATGTAATAAATAAATTAGCAGAATTCCTTGGTTTCAAGGATACGGCAAGTTTATGTAAAAATAGCTAATTATTATAGCTTTGCCTATAATATAGGGGAGGGGAAAATACTACAAATGAGTTTTCTTTTATTAAAAAAGTTAATAGTTTCGTTAATGGTTCTTAAGAAGTACTAACTTGATTAAAGATTTGAAAGCTCTTAAAGACACCTGCACAATTTTCCTTTCTGTAAACAATTAAGCTACAAAGGATCACACCCAGGAATGTTGTTCAAACAGTTCAAAAACAAGATGTATTCAAAACTCATAGGATGCATCAGCAGACAGATGTATGTGGGAACTTGTTCTTCATGCAGCTGTGAATAGATGCCCATCCAGTGGTCACTCACTGCTCAATTAATAAGCAATTGTTATTTCTGCCTGGCCTTTGAGCATAGTATTCTTTTTTCTCTCTGATGCTGACAGTAAATAGATCACAGTATGTGAAATGGTCGTTTGATAGGTGAAGAAACTGGAGGCTTAGAGGACTGAGCTAATTTGGTTAGGACATACAGGGAGCAGTGCCAAGGGCAGCACTAGCATTCAGGCTGGCTGTCTCCTAAACAGGGCTCTTTCTCCCTCTGCTATAGCACCTGATTGGAGACTGGCTCACTGCAAAGGCTACCTGACCAACATACCCTGTTCTCACTGTGTTCTTTCACAGATCAGTGTCAAGCTTACTACTTTGTTCCATTATTACAAAGCCTAGGATCTCTAATTTATGATATCCTTACCTCATTCTTTTTTGTGGCTTGATTTAAGCCAACATGATATGTAAAACTATAATTTCATAAAATATTAAGATTATTTTCAAAGCAAAAGTTATCTTCGCTTGACAAAAGAGTATGCCAGAGTGTTCTTTAAATAAAGAGCTCTCCTATTGTCTTAAAAGTTAAATAATTAGATGTTCAAGAATGTGATGAATACCTACTCTTTTCAGAAAGGCATATACAGATAAAATGTGATAAATGTACATTTGGCTCAACCAAAAGTGAAGACAACTCTTCGAGTCTGCTGACTTTAGTTCTTGTTTTAAACATAAAATTTAGTTGACTACCACTTACTCATTTGTGTATTCATCTACAATTATTAGATCTTTTTAATTCAAAGCATAATATTTCAAAAATCTTGAAGCTAATAATAAAATTGAAAAGTTTGGTAAAACTTTAGAACAGCTCAAAATGATGAACACACAGAGTTTTGAGATTATTTAAGTGGTGCTTTATCAAAGCCATTTATTTGATCAAGTGAATGTAGAGATAAGAAAACTTGAGAATAAATAATTAAAAAATATATAGAGAGATATATATGATTAAGAATCCTCTAGATACTGACAGGATGAGAATTTGAAGAGTGCCAAAACTAAAAAAAAAAAACAAAACAAAACTGTTATATTACATTTTCTCTTCAAACCAGACTGGAATTAAAGTTAATACTATATAGATTTGTTATCTTAATATCTCCGTTCTGGGATTAAGATATCCTAATATTTTAGTTATAGGATTAAGCTTTCATTCTCTTCCATCAAAAGACATCTCTAGACTACTGGTTATTTCTTTATGGTACGTGACAAGATGTATCTATCTGTGGAGATAAAGGTGTATATAAGAGATACAAAATATATTGTTCAATTTATAGATGCACTAAACAGTAGCAAGGATATGAAATGCTTCAGCAGCCATTACAATGTACAAAGACAAATATGCACATATATTTACAACACAGATTGAGGCAAGATAAATGGGCAACTCACTTTCAAGTAACTGAAACTTAAAACTTTAAATTTCATGAATTTCTGTAGCTTAAATTACTTATCATGCAGGAGCATTCTTAAATATGAATAATATGACAGGCAGAAGCATTAGAATTGTGCTAGAAAAGGTGGTTAAGGTGTAAAATATGTAACGAGGTACAGGTCTGTCCTGTTATCATGCTGAATTTTCATCTGAATTTTCTTCTCAAATAAGAAACAGAATTTTTTTTAAGGTTTTAACATATATATTAATAAAGGTCAAATTGGAGACAGCTGTGCTAACAAAAAATGCCCCACTTTTAATTCATGCCTCTGCCTATCTTTTAAATAGTGTTTAATTGACCTTTAGCATGCAGAAGTTAACAAGATTCTACTCCTACTCTACCTAAGTTTGCTCAGCTGATTCCTTGCCCTCGACAATGGCTGCAGTGCGATGAACTCGTCACTTAAAGCAACTGTGTTGGAGTACATCTATAAGTGGATAGAAAAGGAATGGGACATATAACAAGTCAGTGAACTGTAATCATCGCCTAAGAGACAGACACAGGACAAGCTCTGTAAAGACATATCTGTTCCTTTAAGAGTAGGAAATATCATACGTGGCACACATACATGACTGACATTTGTATGGCTGTTAGCTTTCTTCACTCTTAACACCACGTTGTTATTCTGGAGAAAAACAAAGTTCAAAATAAATGCTGATAACTCTCTTTTAGATATGGTTTTTCTTGCTACTTGTGGTAAACAATGAAGTAGCTGACAACTTTCTAACCATTTCTTCATCATTTGAAATCTGAAGTGACAGTATAAAGCTGAAATAATAAAGATTACTGCCTGTAGCATAGGAATAATGTCACACATGGAATTTGAATGACCATATACTGTTTAAGGAAAAAAACAAAACAAAATAATAAAACCTAAAACAAACAAACAAAAAAACCAGCAGGAAAGAAGACTCTTGACTGGAAGCAGCAATTATTAGATCATAGAACATCTGTCAAATTACTTAAAAGTAAATTTAGTGGGGCAAAAAGGGAGATTCTACCAGCTTTCACAGAGATAAAATGATTGATTTATTGCTCAATCCATTTTTAACCAATTTTAACCTATGGTAAAAGAACGAAAAAGTATATAAAGTACTTTTAACCTTTTCTTGTCTAAGGAGCCACCTTAAGGCACCAAACACTTCCTATATAAGTCTTTAGAAAGAAGCAATAGAAAAGGATACAAGAACTAATATCATTTTTTATTATTACTAAGAAGTCTCTATAAAAAACATAAGTTTGCAAATATACTACTTAATGGAGAATTTCCAAGGGTAAATGTAAATTAACTTGATTATTTACTTTTATAAAGAATAAAGTTTTCAAAGTGGTGTCATTAATATACTTTGATGAAATATAACTTTATAGAGGCCAAGAGGGGGAGACTAATGTGTATTCTCTATAAAGGTCTATAAAAAGTATAACAGACAATTATTAAAAATAGTATTCTCTTACTGTAAATACTTATCTCTGAAGACTAAAAAGATTAGGTAAACTTTTCTGATACATGCTTAAGTAATGTACTGCAGAGTGGAAAGTTTTTCCATACTGAAATAAATGTATTCTTAGGCAGAGTATCTGATAACGCAAATTTTTCAGCCCCATTTGGAGATCAGTATCTCAGAGCAACATCCTTATGGTCCTTATAATCATGTTTTTACTGAGGACTTACTATATACAGGCCCAGGGTTAGGTGCTTTATATTCATTATCTCTAACAATCATGCATAGTAATTATTATTCTGATTTTACAGAGGAGTAAACAGGTTTAGGAAAGCGACTTGACTAAAGACGTATATTTTATAAATGGTTAAAACAGTATTTGAATTAAGTTTGTCAGGGTTCAGAGGCCTATGATGCTTCAATGGTGTTAAAAATGTATGTTGGTTAGGCCTGAATTAATAAATGCTAAAGAAATGTTGATATGATCAACTGAAATTAAAACCAATGCACTGTTTAGGAGGCCTAACTCAAATCATTACTTAGGGAGCACTTTTTTATTTGTGGAATATGCAACTAAATTTCCAAAATTTAAACAAAATTTGCTTGGCATGTAGCAAATGTGGGAAAAAAAATATCAACCTAGGAAGAACTAAATGATAATAAACTTAGTGTTTACCAGGCATAAAAGTTAATTAGAATGTATTCTTGAATATATATATCCAATGCTATGGTACACTTAATAAGATAAATTAAGATAGATTTTAGCTCATGTACTGTCATAATGAAAAAGGCACATTTAATTAAATAGCTATCATTTTTTGAGCATCCACTATGAGTTTGAACATTATTTTATTTAATTCTCATTATAAAGGTAATTAAATGGACATTTTAATCATAATTTTACCTATGCAGATACTGAGACTTAAAGTCACAGAGCTACCAGGTGGTAAATCTGGGTCTTGAACTAGAGAACTATCAGGCCCTAAAGACCATATTCTTAAATGCTATGTAACATGCTGTTAATATTTGCTGTAGTATAATATTAACAACTGTTTAGTGAGAGAATGTATTTTATAAATATTCATTTTTAAAAAATTACTTAGGTTAAACAACTTATTTCATACTCTTGTTGAGACAAACTGAAAAAACTATTATTTGAATTCTAATGTTTCTAAAGACATGAATATATATTCCAATTATATAGAGCTGATAGAATGGTGTGACAATACTATTTAAAACATATTTACTATTATCTGGACATGATAGTTTTATATTAATAACACAATGTAATTCTGTTCTATTAATAATACAATGTAGTTTTTAAAAATTATAATTTGTGAGGAATCAAAATTAATACAAACAATAAGAAACAATTTTAAAAATATCAGATTTAACAATATTTATATTGCAAAATGCTTGCTATAGGAATGGATAATTTCCAATTTTCTTTTATTATTATTATTATTATAATGAAATCCAGTAAGATTCAAGTGTACAATTCAACAGTAAGTCATACATATTCTGCATTTTGTGTTCATCGCCCATATCCTAATTTCTGAAAAAAGCAAATTATAATGACAACTATTCATTGTTAAAGCCCCCTAAATACAAAGTTTTGTATATAAAAAATGGTTACCTGTGCCTTTTCAGTATTTGTAGGATGGAGCTGTCTGTCAAATACTTTTTTCACAATATCAAGCAAAAGACATATAACAACCATGAGGATTATGGCAAACCAAGCAGAACCACTTGATAGGAGCTGAAAAAATACAAAGTACATATTCTGGGAGCCCAAAAATGGCCTGCAAAGAAAGAAAGTGGGCTTAATAAAAGTAGAAATTAAGAAGATAGTTTCTTAAATCAAGATATCATGTATCTATATTTGAGGGTTATAATCTTAATTTGGAATACAAACTTGGGATAGTGTTCAAAATTTGAAATTGGATAATTAAGTAACTGAATAACTAATAAAACAAGACATACTTTAATTGTCAAAAATAAAATTCAATTGAATTACTTTCAAAGACAACTATAGTTTTTATTATTAGCAAAATGGCAAGTAGTTGACTATATAACTATCTTATGGTAGGATATCAAAAGAATTATGTACAGACTTAAGAGACCAAGAAAAAGAAGAAAAAATATGAAACAAAATATTTTCTTCTAAGCAACTAAAAAACTGATTACCCAAATCTTAGGTTGAAAAGCTCTTAGAGGTTCTTCTCTACAAATGTATTTTAAAATAAATGCACTCAGAAATATAAGTTCTCCATTGCAGTAGTAAGTATTGTCAAGATACTCTTTTCGAGTTTTAGTATATATCATTTTAGAAGAATATGGGAAATACAGAAAAAAATGAAAAAAATAAAAAGCATTAAAAACATTACAAACAAAACAATACTCATTAGAGTATCCTTTTATGATCCTAAATGGAAGTGAATTATTTAGCTAATCCAAGTTTTGCCAACCTTCTATAATTTTTTACCTAATACAGGGTTCGAAGGCACAGCAGACAAATGCAATATAAATTCTCAAAATTTAAACTTTAGTTGTCCATCACTTACAAAAGAATCTTAGAAGAGACGTTAATTTTTAATCTATCAGAGTAGCTGAATATCTGATTTTACCAATGAAGATAAAGCATACTATTTCATTTTGAGAGAGAAGTTAACTCATTCATGAAAATTTAATGACTCAATGTGACTTATTTTATTACCTTAATAAATAATTGAAGTAATATGATTAGTGTAAAGAACATTAATTGTGGAATAAAATTATCAGCGTTTAAATCCTAGCGTTGTTCTTTTTAACCTTTGTGATCTTGGGGCTCGGTTTCCACACAGAAAAAATAGGGGTAATAAGATTATTGTGATAAATCAAAATAATACTTTACCGGTAAAAGAGACTCTAGAAATTATCTGTTCATAATATAATCAATCACAATAAATTAATATTAAAGTTGAATCAATATAATGAAAATACAATACAGTGACTTACCAGAGAATCCCTCCATAAAACAAAGAAAACACAAAATAGAATATTATAGATCCCCAGGTAACAAGATGATTGATCCAGGTCCAAAAATGAGTTTCCAAAGCCATCTAAAAAAAAAAAAATCCTTAATATAAAATAATAAATCTTTAACTTTAGATAAAACTCATGAATAATAGATATTTATTATAAGTGACTAAGGTTCCTATGGCAAAGTATCTCAGAAGATATATATCAATGCAAAAATTTTACTATAAAATTGAACAATTTCAAGTTTATAATATTTTTCTTCTGTGAGAAAACAGCACTGAAATTTCGTGAGTATTTTATTCTCAACTCTATTGCCTAAAACAATTTGTGTTGTCTTGCATTATACATTGAGAAGCAAAATTTCAGAGATGAATATTATGAGGCCGTAAAAAGTAAGAGGCTTTCTAAAATAATAAACTTAAAAAAGATTTCTGACAAAAAGGAAAAGGAAATATTAAACAGCAATCTATGAAACTACTCATGATTAAAAAAGAGAAAAATATCTGTCTGTGGCTAAACAAATAAAAAAATATATAAATTGTACAGAAACGAAATGTATCCTTGTGTCTAATTTTTGTACCATACCTTTACTGTGACTGTAATAACCATGACTGTGAAGACCAAGGTGCCAAATGTCCAGTTGCCAAACATCTAAACAGAAAGAATAAACCCTTATTGCTTATATATTACCATGTTACTAAATCAGATGTAAGGCAAAAATAACTTTATTCTTTACTAAAAATCACTTGTATTATTTAAGCCAATTACTTTTGAAATCTATGATTAGATTAGTAAAGTTAGAGGAGTATGAGAAGAGTCACCAAAAACATTATTACGTTTATTATTATTATGTAAAATGATCCTTTACATAACATTGTCAGACTGGAAACCCAAAGATGGGTTTAGAATTGTGTGGTACAGACTTTTTGGTTAGAATGATATATTGACTGCTTTATTTATTCCTGTCACACAGTAAAAATGATTACAAAACCCTGTTTAATCACAACTATTTTCCAAAATCATTCCAACTTGAATTTACAGCAGGTAACCTGCTACCGTATTTCTGAACATAGCACAAGCAGAGCAGGAAAAAGAAGTTACACACAAAACCAATACCTGAAAAGAAAGATAATGGCCAATGAAATTATTCCTCAAAGAATTCCTTGTAAAAATGCAGTTAATGTCAGTCAGAAAGTATTTCTCTGGGCTTCACAGAAAAAATCTACATGGTTTATTAAAAATGCAGAATCTTCAAAGAATGTCAAGATTTAATTTCCACAAATAAGAACACAACCAGAAGTTTACATTGATTTAGTTTATAAAGTAGTCATAGTCTTTACCACTGGTTTAAAAAATTATTTAAAAGGCTCTGTTTTATTATTACAGATTTCTAACAATTAGCATTTATTTGACAAATTACTTAACCTCTATCTTACTTTTTTCATTTGTAATATGGGGAGAACCTTATAGGTTTTTAGAAGAATTAGGGTATGCAACTGTTGGTGGGATTGCAAATTGGTACAGCCACTATGGAAAACAGTCTGGAGGTTCCTCAAAAAATTAAAAATGGATATACCTTTTGACCTAGCAATTGCACTTCTGGGTTTTTATCCAAAGAAAACCAAAACGATAATTTGTAAAGATCTATGCATCTCTATGTTCATGGTATACATCATTTTAGATGTATATCATTCACAATAGTCAAGATATGGAAGCAACCTAAATGCCCAACAGACATTCGGATAAAGAAGTTATGGTTCATATATACAATGGAATATTACTCATCCTTTAAAAGAAAGAAATCCTACCATTTGCAATGGCATTGATGGACCTAGAGGTTATCATGCTGAGAGAAATAAGTCAGACAGAGAAAGATAAATACCATATGATTTCACTTATATGTTGAATCTAAAGAACAAAAAGAACAAACTAATTGAAAATGGACTCACAAATGTAGAGGACAATCTGGTGACCACCAGAGGGGAGGGAGGGGGTTGGAGGGCTGGGAGAAATCAGTGAAGGGTTAGAGAAGTACAAATTAGTAGTTAATAGATGATCAGAGATGGAGAGCACAGCTCAGAGAATGCAGTCAGCAGTAAAACGGCTAGGTGTAGAGCCAGAGGGGAGATAATCAGGTGGATCGTTCCATAAACTATACAAATGCCTAACCAATGTATTGTATACTTGAAACTAATAAAAAAAAAAAAAAGAATTAGGGTATGCGAATAGAACAGGGTGCCTGGTATACAAAAAGTAATTAATAAGTCATCATCAACAATAAAACATCAATTGATACTTCTTTATTTGAGGATATTTGGGGAGTTTGTCAAAAGGAAAACAAACATCATATTGAACCCATCCTTATTTTCCTATTTTTATCATCTCTAGAAATTACCTGGAAAAACTGAAAATCAGTGGGTCTCACTTAGCTAAGCTCTCAGAGAGAAGTGCCAGCTTCCTCTTTCAAGGCTATGGGAACAGATATTTATGTAGCCAGGGAACCTGTGCATGGAAGTAGTAACAATCGCACACATCTATCCCTCAGCATCTGGTTTTATTGGACCAAGACTGGGGCTAGTTAAGTGGTATCTTTCTTAGAAGCAGAAGAGGACTTAGGGTTCCCTCTTGCATTCAAGGCCCTAGAGGGAGCTGTAGAAACACAT